GTCAATGAGCTGAAGACAGAACATGTCCAGTTATGTCAGTTCCAGATGCTTTGAGATATCACAGAAGGAAGTCAAATTCTGCCCTGGAGGGAACAGGCAGTATATATTCAAAAAACATACAAAGGACACAGCAGCTCTCTCTCACTGCCTGCACTGGGAGGTCTCAGGCCACTTCCCCCATCCAGGGGTTGCTGATGGGCAGACGAAGGAGGGAACGAGGGCTAGGCTAGTTGGAATCAATTGTACTTTATTCCAATTTCATCTCCATCCCTCTTCCTGATTCCCCCTGCCCACTCTCACAACCTTACTTATATCCCAAATCATGAGGGGTTGGAGTAACAATTACACATAGGTGTGGTCATAATACAATCAACTGAGGTAAAATCCTTCCCTCAGGGGAAGCTCCTTCTAGGACAAATTCTCATTCAGCAAGACCACCAGCCCCAACGCAAAATGGGTGCGTTTCTTCTTTCCTTAGTCCAACAAACATAAACATTCATATTAGTCATTTTGTATGGACAGAGTCACTGTCACTGTCACTGTCCTCCTGTTGTTTATGGATTTGCTCAAGCGGGTCCAGTAACATCTCCATTGTGAGACTTGTTGTTACTGTGTTTGGCATATTAAATACGTCATGTGTAGCTTGCCAGGCTTTGCCGTGAGGGTGAAATCCTACCGGTAGCTTGCCGGGCTCTCGGAGAGGGGTGGAGGAATCGAACCCAGCTCGGCTGGGCTGGCTGCGTGCAAAGCAAACGCCCTACTGCTGTGCTATTGCTCCAGCCCTATGGACACAGTAAGAGATATATTAAGCTTATAGGATGGTTCTCCTGGGAGCATCTTGTTATAGATTTCAGACCACAGTGCTCAGGCCAGATTAGTCTTTCTAACCCTAGCAGGGTCCTAATCTAATTGTTACTTTTTGGATCATGATAGAATTTGTCCATGATCATGCTCTTAACTTATTGTTAAGCGCTGTGGTGCTTTGGTCTAGTCCACTTTGATGCCATGGTAGCTCACAGTTTGCCCTGGGTCCATCTAGTCCCTCGTTGGGACCCTGCTTTTGGGGTGCTAGGAAGTATGGGCAGCTGAGGCTTAAGTCGAGAAAACAGATGTTCAGGAGTGAATATTATTTGGAGTCAATTAACTCCCAAGTTACAAATACAAAGCATTAACTGTCATCCTTTGTCTATGCATAAAGGACATTGCTCTAAAGTAAAAAGGCATAAGGAGAAGATAAAGGCGAAAAATATTTCACTTATGAATACAAGTCTAGTGTTCCTAGAAGAATCTGATCTTACAAGTTAACAGAGTCTGATTAGGGGATACATGGGATAGGTTAGGGAAGCAGAGCACAAAGAAAGTGATTACAGATAAACAAAGGAATGGGAGTGTCTCAGGAGCACTGTGATGGTTGCAACCCTAAGCTCCCTGTGGCAAGGTAGAAAGGACAAACCAATGTTAAGCCTAAAATGTTTAGAACTATATTCCTACAGGCAGTATTTGCAAAGTTAAGACATCCTGGAGACAGCAGAAGGGGTTAAGTAAGGTGCTTGTCTTGCATGCAAGCTGACTGGTTCAGTACTCAGCAGTATGTGGTCCCCTAAGCAAAGAGCCAGGACTAGCCCCTGAGCACCTTGAAGTGTGGCTTCAAAACAAAACAGCTGAACAAAGCACCACACTGGGAAGGATCTGTCTACTCTGTTCATAGTGGTTGCCCTGTGGCCCCTGGTCTAGAATAATTTCTGGGCTTTAGGAAGATATTCATTTGTTTATATAGAACATCTCTGAAGAGAAGTCTTATAATACTGATTTCCACAAAAAGGGATAAAACGGATTTGGTCCTGAAAATACAGATCTGAAGAAGCTACAGGAGGACGAGAAGGTTGAGAAGTGACCTGATGGACCTGGAGGGGCAGCGCTGTAGTATCCACTCAGTCCTGTACCCTGATGAGCTCCAACCAGTCAGCTCAACAGATCTTTTCCCTATAACCTACAGATAACTGGGAACTGACCTCCAGCTCTAATTTCACCTTTGTCTCCACACAGAAAACATTTGGGGAACCAAAGAGCCCAGGCCAAGGGCATCACTGTTTAAGAGCTGAGCCTGAAATAGCATTCACACCCTTAAACTGCTCAGCTTTCAGCGAAATATTTGCACACAGCCGTGAGATTAGAGGATGATCTTTCTAAATCAGCTTGACCTATTTAGATGAAGTCTCCCTCCTGCACAGGCTGCTTCATTAGAGCGGGCACCCATCATGCTTCATGCTATGGTCTAAATATCATTTGATATTCTGGAATTTTTAAATTACATCTGCATTGGAAGGATTTGTTATAAGGCAGATCTACATGTAGTAACATGGGTAACCACAATAAATTAGGGAAATAGGCTGCCAAACAACACATATATAAAACTATGAGACAAAAACCAGAGCAATTTCATTCCCAGCATCCTACATGGTCCCCCAAGCACTACCAGAAGTGGTTACTGAGTAACCAAGTAAGCCAAGAATAACCCCTGAGCACTGTTGGATATGGCCCCCAAACAATCAAAACCCCAAAACACTGTGATGCCAGATAGACAATTCAGTGGATAGGGTGCTTGTCTTGCATTTAGTTGCTCTCCAGATCTGATCCACAGTACTACATATGGTCCCCAGAGCCTAGCAGGACAAATCCCTGTGCACAGAGCCAGGAGTAACCACTGAGCCCCAAATCTAGCCAAACAAATAAAAACCCACATGACTGACTACCACTGCATTTATTTTTTTTTAAACTGAAATATAATACCACACACTTAATAACACATACAAAATAGTTCATACTTATCACACACTAACATTTATTTTTCATAATAAAGTAATGTATTCTATCTCATCATTAATAAATAGGTCTGGAGGTATAATTACTAGTACTCAACAGGTTTGTAGAATCTTCTCAAGCCCAAATGATCAAATCAGAAAATAAAGTTTTAGAGATAGGTTCCCATTCAGTACATAATCTTATATGTAAGTATATGAAAAGTTCATTTTGAGGAAGTGGAGGGCTTGTCCCTCAGGGGTGCTTGGGGGATACTGCCAGCTCTGTGCTCAGGATACCACTGCATTTGAAAGATAATTTAACCTCTGGGCACTGTAGCACTGTAGCATTGTCCTCCCGTTTTTTCATCAATTTGCTCAAGCGGGCCCAGTAACGTCTCCATTGTGAGACCTGTTACTGTGTTTGGCATCATGTGGGCAAGACACTCTCAGTAGCTTGCCGGGCTCTCTGAGAGGGGCGGAGGAATCGAACCTGGGCCGACCAGGTAGGCTGCGTGCAAGGCGAACGCCCTACCCGCTGTGCTAATAGTTCAAATGATGGTCACACTGGCAACTGCATTTATTGCTAAGATTAATTTACACTGTTGCTTAGCCATGATACCCATCCTCTCATTTGGTTGTTGTAACAATGAAACACTAAGAGGCAATAATTATAGCTACTTAAGGATATGGCAAATGAAACAGAAGTAGTAATGTTATCTACAAGTAGTAGAGGAGGGAGTCCAAATTCAGTACATCAAATCCTTTTCCTCCAATCAAATCTTTTTCCTCCATCACTTTGTCTCTTTTGTAGACCCACATTGAGGGGAAGGCTTATCAGGAAAGAAACTGATCCTAGACTTTGAAAGTGACCCTGGCTCACATTCGAAGTGCCTTTCTATAGAGAGATGACCTGAAGTAACTTGTGTGTTAACGAAATATTATCATAAGTGGGGTTGCTACAAATTTTCCTTATTAACAAGTCAATGGGCTGAACACGTGTTCTTTGCCTGCTGGTGGTCTGGGTTCAATTCCAGGAATTGCATGGTGCCCCCAAGTCTGAGCAATCCTTGAGCATGGAGCTGGGAGTAGTCTCTGAGCACCAAGGGGGTATGGTCCCAAAACAAGAAATTCTCATTAAGTTTCATCATAAGTGAAATTAGAATTCCAAACAGTGCAGTGATTTCTATTAGCCCTAGACCAAATGTTTTGTTCCCTTCGGTGTCTTGGGAAATGGTATTAACTAGTATCTTGTTCTGTTTTTGTGTTGTGCTCCCAGATCATTTCTAGTGATGCCAAGTCAAGGCAAACGCCCTACCAGCTGTACTATCACTCTGGCCCCTTAATTAGTATCTTTAACAGAGAACAGGTTTAAATCTGCCGATTTCTTGTTAAAACTCAAGGTGCACGTTTTCTAAATAAATAGAGCAGATGGCAGACTCGGCTCTCCACTTGTCGACAGGTGTTCAAGACATAAGACACCGAAAACTGATCAGGGAGAGGCTCTCTCCACCTGCCTCACTCCTCCCTGAGAGCCGTTTAGGAAACATGGGAACCTCAATCATTTGCTTTCCTGGAAGTTTTCAGCTCTATGTGATATATCTATCCGCTGAACTCTTAAGAGTTTTTTTTTTTACATTTTTTTATTAAAATTTTTTTAATAGTGAGACATCATGAGGTACAGTTGCAGATTTACACATTTTTGTGCTTGGGTTTCAATTATACAATGATCAAATACCCATCCCTCCACCGGTGCCCATTTCCCACCACCACGGATCCCAGTATCCCTCCCACCCCCCCACCCCCCATTCCACCCTACCTCTATGGCAGGGCATTCCCTTTTGTTCTCTCTCTTCGTAAGAGTTTTTAACTTGTCTGTATTGTGTTAAGATCCACAGATAAAGCCCAACGGTGTTGTTTAGGTGACAACAAAGCATACTTTACAGCACACCTGATTCATTTGCGTTTTCATGGCTTACCCACTATGTAATAGATCAGTTTCCTACAGTCAGAAAGCCGCCAACAGATACTGGAGTACAAGTTAGAATCAACACTTTGCACTCGCTGGTAGGAAGAGAGTAATGCGAATGCTCTCAAGATATTTTACAAAAATCCCTGGCACCTCGACTTTGAGTCTGAGAAAAGATGTAGATGGGCGCCGCGTTTCCCTCCCTCGGAAGAGGGAAGAGTAGCAGAACTCGCGCCCGGGCCTCGACGCGCCCGCGCCCGCGCCCGTGCTCGGCCCACGCCCGCGCCCGCGCCCGCGCCCGCGCCCAGCGCGCGCCCGGCCCCGTCCCGCATTACCGGCGCCTGCGCCAGCCGCAGTGCTTTATCGTTCTCTTCTTCCACATCCTCCTCCACGACATCTGCCACAGTCTCCAGGGCATCCACGAGGTCTTCGCGTTTGTACTGGGCTCCGGTGCTGAGTTCTTGGAAGCTGCAGGCCGCCAACCTCTCCTCTGCGTGTGAGGCAGCCATCACCGCGCCGCCGAGGCCTGAGCGCCAGCGCCGGCCCGGAGTTGGGAAGCGGGCGCGGCCCCAGGCTCCCCGGCCGCTCCCAACTTGGGGCTGGCGGTAACTAGGGGCGCCGTAACCAGGGACGCTACAACATTACAAGGGCCGCGAGAGGCCAAAAACCATTCAAGCTCCAGGAACGCGTCTGGAGACCCGAGCGTGGCGACCCCGGGGGAGAAGGGGCAGCACTAAACCCGCAGGTTTAAGGGGTGTGAGTGCGCGGGAGGGCACCTCCCCCACTCCTTACGCCTCCCCGCCGAAACGCGTACTTCTAGGATTAGCCTAATGGCACGGTTCACTACATGGCGGAGACGGGGGCCGTGGAAAGAACACATCTTCACTTATTGAAATAACATGTTTGGAGACCGGATCGTACAGCGGTGTAGGGCAGTTAGCCTTGCATGCGGTCAGCCCGGATTCGATCTCCGGCATCCCATAGAGTGCTCTAGCCACCGCCCTTCTCCCGCCACCTCTTCCCGCCCTCCAGGAATAAGCCCCTAAGCACAGCCCGAGGTGGCCCCAAATCCAGAATTTCTAAAAGCATAGAAAAAGAAAAGAAATAACATGTGGTGATGGCGGCGGTGCAGGCAAGCCAGAGATATTACTGTGTGCCGGTCTCAACATATGTAAGATTTGCCTCCTGCTACCTAACATGGCTCCCCCAGGAGCCGGAGAGAATGGACCGGCGTTAGATGCTTTCCTCTCAGATTGACATGAGAGCTCCAGAAACGGACCAATCCGACCCAGGCTGCTGCCGCTTGCTTTTTTGCCCTAGCCAATAGAGGTCCAGAGTTAGGATTCTAGCCCGCCCACTCCCCAGTGTTAATGTCTTGGAGCCAGCGTTTCAGTGCTTAGGTAATCAGCAGAGTTGCAGAACGCGAAGACCCCAGGGTAATTACTGATACATCCCATCTCGCCTACCATAACCTCTTCAACATTTCCCATCGGGGTGTACGCACTTCAAATGGCTTTTCTGTGGCTGTGTGAGAACTCTAGCCTTAAAATAGCAGGCGTGCGGTCTCTGCCACTTGCTATTTAAGCCACAATTTCCTGATTCTGAGGCTGTGGCACCTCCCCCCACCCTCCCCTCCCAAACACACACCTATCGTCAGCTTCTTCGCAGAGCCCACTCGCCTTCCCAGCTGTCCTTTAAGCCGCCATCACTATACTACAGCTTTGGGGTGTGAGCTCTGTATACCATGTGGTCTTATTCAGTGATCTGGAGTGAGCACGTGCAAAGTCCCTTACTTCCTTATGTCCTAAAGACCGTGTTTTGTTTCGACTGTGCATTTGTCTTACACACTGGAACCGACGGTGTCTGGATTCTGAGCAAAAGGTAAATCTGGCAACCCAAGAGGAATGGCCGCCTCAAGTGCCCAGAGTAAGAACTTTCAGTTGTTCAAATGCATTGGTTTTTTTCCTGCACGTTTCCCTCGGTATTTGCCTGCAGAAACCGAGGAAGACTAGTATAGGGTTAAGGTGTGGTGAACTCCCTGTGTGTATGTAGAAAAGTATAATTTCCTTTTACCATCAATATTCTAAATATAAAGATAGCTAGTAACATAGTATATAGAGCAGAAATAGAACTATCAAAAATGACAAATGTTACATCTTGATTGGAAGTTTTTCCACGTTTGTACTGAAATATAGATGAAATGAACAGATCTCATATATGAATTTTGCCAAAAGTGCACATTCATGTAATTATACTCTTCAGATAGAGTACATTTTTCTTTTAGTCCAGAAAGATCCCCTGTGCCCCTTCCCTCAGTCCATCTCCTTCCCCCAGTCAATCCATCCCAATGACTTAGAACTTTATATAAGTGGAATTACACTGTGCATACTTGGTTCTCCATCTCATTTATGGTAGTGGTTTTAAGTGAAGCAGGATAGTTTGTTTTCTGTTCTTTTCAGTCTTTAGGTCACACCCAGCAGTGCTCAGGGGACTATATGTAGTGCCAAGGATTAAACCCAGATCATTGCATGCAAGGCAAATGCCTTAGCTGCTGTACCATCTCTCCAGACCCTCAAGTTTTTGTTTTTGGACTACACCTGGTTATGTTTAGGAGTTGCTTCTAGTCTGCACTTAGGAATCACTCTGGCAGTGCTCGGAGAACCATATGAGGTGCTGGGGATAAAACCTGGGTCAGTTACATGCAAGGAAAGCACTTACCCCACTTTTATCTCTGTATTATCTCTGGCCCTGACCACAAAATTGTTTTTATTGAAATAAATTTACTTTATGTGAGAGGGAGAGAACACGACTTAAAAAAAGCAAGCGGTAACTTAATGTTCCAGAAAAACATAGGCTTGAAAGAACTAGCCAACCATGGTGATTTTTTATATTCTGACACACTGTTGCATATGAATCTATTTTTATTACTAAAATTATTTGGGTAATAAATGGTGATGCTCAGAGCTTACTCCTAGGAGCTTACTACTAGGATCACTTAATCACTTAACTTCCCGTTAGTCGGCGATTTGCTTGAGCGGGCGCCAGTAATGTCTCCATTTGTCCCTGTCGCGTGCTAGTGTAGCCCAATGGCATCTGTTCGCTCCGGGAACATGAAGGACCTCAAACCGATCGTTCATGATCTTGACGAAGAAGTCTGACCATCTGGTAGGTGGGCGGCCACACGGTCTTTTGACATCCCGTGGAATCCAGTCGGTAACAGCTCTAGTCCAGCGGTCGTCTTTAAATCTCATTACGTGACCAGCCCATCTGATTTTCGACACCTTGGCAAATGAGACAGCGTCCCTGATTGTTGATCGTCGACGGATGTCAGAACTCCGGATTCTATCTCTCATTTACTACTAGGATAGCTTTGTGCGTAAGGACACTCCTAGCAGTGCTGGAGTCCATCTGTGATATAGGAAATTGAAGGTTTGGCAGTATACAAGGCAAGTTGATTTAATCCCTTCTACTATCTCTCAGGCTGTTTCTTTTCAATTACAGAATAGCTTCCCTAGCCCCCCCCCCCCACCCCCAAGCAAACAATAGCATTGTAGCACTGTCCTCCCGTTGTTCATCAATTTGCTCGGCCGAGCTGTCCCAGTAACGTCTCCATTGTGAGATATGTTACTGTGTTTGGCATATCGAATACATCACGGGTAGCTAGCCAGGCTTTGCTGTGCGGGCGAGATACTCTCGGTCGCTTGCAAAGCTCTCCAAGAGGGGCAGAGGAATCAAACGCGGGTCCGCCGGGCTGGCGGAGTGCAAGGCAAACGCCCTACCCGCTGGGCTATCGCTCCAACCCAACAATACTTTAAAAAAAAAAAAACCACTGAATTCTTTTTTTTTGTTGTTGTTCTAATATGAATCACAGAAAAGGCATATTCAAATTTAAGCTGCACTTCTACTCATTGTCTTTTATCATTTTCTTGAGTATACCCATTCACGGGTTTATTATTTGGGTACTTCAGAAAACAGATACCAAGGAGTCAGAAGTCAGAAGTGCAAGAGCTTTATTGGAGGAAATTCCCATGAAAGAGAGGGAAATAGAAGTCTTCAGGCCAAGCCTGATACTTTAGAGAGGGAAGGAGGGGAATGATTGTGTAGGAGGTAGATATTAAAATGCAGTTCTGATAAAGTGACAAATGAGCTCCAGCACCAAAACTGCTTACACAAGACTCCAACAAGGGGCAGAATGGCTACACACTGCCTTCTCAGTCACTGTGTAAGTGCATATTCTCAGCTACACTGGCAGCACGCGCGTACACACATCAATTGTTTTCTATTCAGTTGACTATTTAATAGTGAAATATTTAAATTCCTTTCTCATTTCCTTTTGTGTGTACCTTATAGCAATTTTCTTTATGGTTGTCATGGACACATTTCAAATCACAGAATTAAAGCATTCAAATATGAATTGTTTTAACTTCAGAAACAGTAATTCATAGCTCTATCCAAACTTCTTTTCTGTTGAGGTCAGTTACATCTCCATACATTAACCCCAAAACAAGATAGTAATTCCTTTAAATGCCTAATTTCTTAGATTATATAAAAAACCACTTGGAATTACGGGAATTCTGTAACAGTAATTTACAGATTAATAATTTGGGGGTTTAAACACCTGGTGGTGATAAGAGATCATTCCTGGTGGTACTTGGGGACCATATAGGGTGCCGGGGATCGAATTAAGTTGGCCACATGCCAAACATGCAACCCACTGTATTATCTCTCTCTGGTCTCTGAGATTAATCTCGTAGAAGACAAAACTTTTACAGTAACACTAGCTTTTATAATTTTCCTGACCTTACCTATATGGGAGGTCTTTATTTTTCCATATGGTTTCAAATTATTGAAGTTTCTACAACTGCATAGCATCAGTTAATTCACATATAATGAAATTTAGATTTAGTGCTTGGTCTTGTTGTATGCTATAAATTTTTTAAAGGTGGAGCCATCACACTTTGTTAAGTACAAAGTTTCCAGAGGAATGGAACCATCGGTCTCATACATGCAAATCATGAGTTCTACCATTGGAATTATTTTGTCTTTTGACCACTACTTGTGATTTCATGCACTACCACTGACAATGCACAAAGGACCATGCAGTGTCAGGGATTGAACCTGGGCCTCTTTTTTTTTTTTTTTGCTTTTTGGGTCACACCAGGCGATGCACAGGGGTTACTTCTGGCTCTTCACTCAGGAATTACCCCTGGCAATGCTTGGAGGAACCATCTGGAATGCTGGGAATTGAATCTGGGCACAGTCGCGTGCGAGGTAAACCTACCCACTGTGCTATTGCTCCAGCCCTGCCTCCTGCAGCTTTCATACTAGTTCTTTCAGCTTTTTCCCCGGTTCCCACTTAAGTTTGGTTTTGGGGCCCCCCCTTACTGTGTTCAGGTATCACTCCTTACATGGGTCATGGGACCAAATGTGGTGCAAGTTTGAGTTTGATGTGTAAGAAGTTAGTGCTCACCTGCTATACATTCTTTTGGCCCCTCTACTTGAAGAGTTATAAACTTTGTTCTAATTATTTAGAATACAAACCAGTCTCCTATTTTTGGTTTTTGGGTTCACACCTGGTTGTGCTCAGGGATCACTCATGACGGGCTGGGGGAGAGTGGGACATGGCCTTATATGGTACAGGGGACTGAATCTGAATCAGCTGCATGCAAGACAAGTGCCTTATTCTTTGTACTCACTCTCCAGCCCAAAACCAATTTATTATTCTTATAAAAGTTCTGATTCCGTACCAACTGGCTAAACATTTCTCCACAGATGAGCACCTCAGTATCTTTCTTCACTCATTATAATAGCAGGTCTGGGACTATATCGTTCAGGCCCATCTCAAAGTATGAAAAAATTTCATGCACTTATAAAGCATGAAAGACTAGTTTCTGACAAGTTTTAAAAGACCTGTGAAGGGGCTGGAGTGACAGTACAATGGGTAGGATATTTGCCTTGCACGTAGCTAACCTGGGTTCGATTCCCAGCATCCCATATGGCCCCTAAGCACGGCCAGGAATAATTCTTGAGTGCATACATGAGTCAGGAGTAACCCCTGAGCATTGCTGGATGTGACCAAAAAAAAAAAAAAAAAAACCAAAAACAAAAACAGTTTAGAAAAAAATAAAAAAAACTTGTCAAATGAGGGGAGCAACTATGGGTTTTATAGTTTATACATATAAGATTTTATATTTATGGAAAGATGGTTGGATCACAGAAGCAATAAAAAATTTTTAAACCATGAAAACAAGATCAAAAGATCTTCTGTAGAGGGCCAAAGTGATAGTGCAGCAGATAGGGCATTTGCCTAGCACACAGTCAACCCAGGTTTGATTTGGCACATCCCATATGGTCCTCAAAGCACCACCAGGAGTAATTCCTGAGGAGCCAGGAGTAAGCCATGAGCACCACCCAGTAACTTTATTAGGGACTAGAGATAGCACAGGGGGTTAGGCATTTGTCTTAAACACAGCTGACCTTAGTTTAATCCCCAGGCTCTATATATGGTCCCTGAGCACCATCAGGTTAGGCCTCAAATATTTTATATAAATATATCCAATCTACATGTGTAAGTTATTTCCAAATATTCCAATTAGCAGAACAGTAATTATATTTTTGGTTTGGGGCCATCTCTACACTACTAAGGGAACTCCACAGTACCCGTATTAAACCCAGGCTCCAGCTTATATGAACTCTGACATGTACTACTCCAACAGGAAGATAACTTGTTGAATTAAGCTGATGATAGAGGGAGCTTTCATTTTTCACTTTGTTTCTATACTGTTAACTTTTCCAAATAGCATATAGGTTATTTTGGGGCTACTCCCAGCACAGAATTAGGGTGGCTCCTGGTGGTGCTCTGGGGACCTTGCAGTGCTAGGAACAGAATTCAGGCCTCCTTGTACACAAAGCAGGACCCTAACCCACTGAGTGGTATCTGTGGCCCTTACGTTAATTTTTACTTAAATGTGGATGAGGTCAGTGGGCTTATAAAACTTTTATTTGGGGTGAAAAAATGTACTGGGCTAGAGATAGCACAACTCGGTATGTTACTTGCACAGAGCCAAATAGTAAGCTCTGAGCACAGTAGGATATGGGCCCAAAACCAATTAAAAAAGAAAAAAAAACAAATTTTTCTTTTTGGGTCACACCCGGCATTGCACAGGGGTTGCTCCTGGCTCATGCACTCAGGAATTACTCCTGGCGGTGTTCAGGGGACTATATGGGATGCTGGGAATCGAACCCGGGTTAGCCATGTGCAAGGCAGATGCCCTACCTGCTGTGCTATTGCTCCAGTCCCCAAAACCATTTTTTAAAAAAAGTAATCAGATTAAGTCCCAAGAAAGACAGCAGTCAATTGTGAATTCATTTCCCCACACTGCATACTTCTATTGTTTTTTCAAGAGTTCCTGAGAAATAAGACTGGGGATGTGGCTCAGTCTTTAAGTGTATGTCAGACATGTGTGAAGCTCTTGAAGAGACAGACGGGTATATGTGTTTCTCAATCCCTTGCACCATGTTCCCCCAATAAAAGGAAAAAATGCCTTTGAAACCAAATTTTTAATATTTTCATTAAAATTATATCAGTACGATTTTAAGCAAATGTCAATAAGAATTCAGAGGAAAATAGCCTCCCTAGCAAAGAACACACAGATGATCTTTCAATTCCAGCTTCATTATTAGTAGCTGTGATGGTGCTAGGTCATCCATATTACCGCGTGTTAACCTAGAAGAAAAATATTTAATTTCAAAACCTTCAATAACATTTTAAGAACTGATGTTTAATGCAATTATCCACACCCCCCTATTTTATAGATGAGAAAACACAAAGTATGAACTATTATCCTCTTGATGACTTTACCCCAGGGAAGGGAAGTCTAAAAAAACAATAACATGACCTCCCCTGCCCCAATGAGACCCTTGAGTCGCTGCCCACAAATGGTCCCTTGGGCTGGCCACTCATGAAGCTGCTTAACGGCCATGATCCCACAGACACACAAGCGAAACTCGGAATCCAGAGCCTTTTGGCAGAAATGCCTCCGGACTTTGTACTAGGTTGCCAGCGCTGGGCCACCCCAGGTGGGAAAAGGTGCAATCTCTTCACCTATTCCCCCTGGCGGCTTGGTGGCCACCATTTCCCAGAGGTCGCTGGACAGTCAGGTATGGGCCCGTAATGACAAGACACGCGGGACCTCACAGTAAGGGGGTGGTGCCAGCCCTTGACCTCCCCCGCCCCAACGGGACCCTGAGTCACAGCCCACAAACCGTCCCTCCGGCTACTGATCAAGCTACTTAACGGCCATGAACCCCAGAGACACACAAGCTAAACTCCGAGCCCAGCGGCTTTTGGCAGAAATTCCTCCAAATTATTAAATTTCAGAATTTCAAAATCATGTGGCCACTATTGTGGCTGCACAACATCATACACTCTTCATAATCAGCAATAGAACACAAATTGTCTAATATTGCCTTTTCGGCAGGTCTAAGTGTTGGGGAAAAACCCCAAATAATAATGGTGGGTCTGATGTCGAAATAGTGAATGTAACCAAACTAGAGAGAGAATAATGTGGAAATCATCTGCTACACAGATAGGGCAAGGGGGTGGAATGGGATGGGGGGGGGGGGGGGGGCGAATACTGCTGTTTTTTGGTGGTGGAAAATGTGCACTGGTGAAGGGACCGGTGTTTCATCATTGTATGATCGAGACTTAAACCCAAATCTCAAAAGCAAATTCAGAATCTTAAACCTTGACTTTGTAGGGAAAATCAAACAATCCATATACATACTTACCACATCATCAATTTTCAGAATGCTTCGGACAGTTTCAGTTGCCAAAGTCAGTGCACTGACTGAAACCAATAGGGGTTGGACAACCAGTTCCTCCAAAATGTTGGAAATACCACCCTATGAAATCAGGAGAAGCTGCTTTTCAGTGTTTATAATTAGACACATGACCAACTATTGTTAATCAATATGCTTCACAGCCTTTCCAAATCTAGTTTTCTTTTTATCTCATCAAGAAAATAATTACTAGCTTTTCTCTATACACTGTAAGTTGTAAAATTTGAAGACAAAATTAATGTTCTGTTATCTTAATTCTAGCTCCAAAATAGCTCTTTAACGTATCACTTCTCCCCTTGGGTATGTCTGGCTTATTCCCAGGTCTGCAATCAATCCTAGCAGGCAGGGGGACTTTATGTTGGGGATCTGACTAGGGTCGGCCACATTGCAGTACTATTGTCTAGCTCCCAAGATTACCCAGTTTTGGGGGAGGGTGGGTGTGAGGGTTGGCCATACCTGGAGGTGCTCAAGAATCACTCTAGCTCTGATCAGGGGACCATGTGTGGAGCTTGGCATTAAGCCAGGGGCAAACATGTACAAAGGTAAGTGCCTTATCCACTGTATTTTTTCTCAGGTACCAAGATTATCCTGCTTAACAATATGGGGTGATGGGGGTGGGGAAAAGTGGGGTGCTGAGGATCAAGCCTAACCCAGGTTGGCTGTGCCCTACCTGCTGTACCATCACCCCGGCACCAAAAATAACTTTTTAATATTAAATCAACATTTTCTCTAATAAAGACTAAATTACTACCTTTCGAACATTAATGCCTGAAGTTTTTTCTCCTTGGGAATGCCGGTTTCTTAATTCTGTTACCGTTGAAATGGGATTCAGGCCAGCATTTTCAGCTAGAGTAGATGGAATGACCTCCAGAGCATCTGCAAAAGCACGAACGCAGTAGGATTCCATACCACTCAATGTTCTTGAATATTCAGTTAACCGTAGGGCCAGTTCTATTTCTGGAGCACCGCCTCCTGCAATAAGAGCTCTGAGATTCACATATATTTTTAGTTAATTTTATTCAATAAAAAACTATAATAAACATACCTCTAAAAATAAAAACACTGAAGATTAAGTATTAGTAACATATTACCTCTTCTTTACTAAACAGCGAATAACACACAGTGCATCATGAATGGAGCGCTCAGCTTCTTCTATCACCAACTTGTTAGAGCCTCGAACAACAATTGTAACGGTTTTGCCAGGGCTTGTACAACCTGTAATCTTTAGTAATATACCCAGATTAGGAATATGAAATAAGGGTTAAAATAAGAACCCAAGCAAGTGAAAGCGTAATTATAGTACTTTTACCTTGAGCAGTTTGCCAGCCCCATTTAAATTAACTTCTTCAGCTAACTCAGCTGATCCCAACATATCAGGAGTGAACTGATCAATATGAGCAACTGGTATAGTTCCAATTGTCTGGGAAAAAGTAAAACACACAAATTAAGAAAATGTGATTATCTAAACCATGGCAATGGACAATACCTGAGTTTCTTCTGATTCATTAGGCTAGCCCAGGACCATTACCATGGCAATGGGTTGTAAAACTCTTATGTGCAGCAAAAATGGGCAAACATTAGACCACTGACCTTCAAAATAAAGTCTGATTTAATAAAGAAGCATTAAAAAAAGGGATTATCAGTTATTTTCTCAAAACACAGATGTTAAAAATACTTACCTTACAAATGAATTCAATGTCTTCTCTCTCAATATCCTTAACTACCATAATCTTCATTTTGGTCAGGAAATGTAACGCAAGATCACTAAGAGCATCCCTAAAATACAAAACCAATGATTATGCCCATGTTGGGATAAAGCAATGTCACCCATTCAACCACTTTTTTTTTATTGGGGGGGGGGGGGGCTTTTTCAGTCACGCCTGGCAATGCTCAGGGACGACTACTGGCTCTGTACTCAGAAATCACTCTGCACTCAGAAATCATATGCTCAGAGGACCATATGGCATGCTGGGGATGGAAACCAGGTAAGCCGCATGCAAGGCAAATACCCTACCCACTGTACTATTGCTCTGGCCCCCACCACTTAAAAAAATTTTATTATTGTATTGTTGTTTGGGCTGGAGTGATAGCACAGTGGGTAGGGCGTTTGCCTTGCAAGCGGCCAACACGGCCAACCCAAGTTCGATTCCTCCGCCCCTCTCTGAGAGCCTGGCAAGCTACCGAGAGTAGCTCGGCTGCACGGCAAAGCCTGACAAGTTCCACGTGATGTATTCGATATGCCAAACACAGTAACAACAAAGTCTCCAATGGAGACGTTAGTGGGCCCGCTCGAGCAAATTGATGAACAACGGGAGGACAGTGACAGTGATTGTATTGTTGTTTAATGGTCAATGACTCCATTTATTTATGTAAGTGCACTACATGGAACTGGAAAGGGGACTGAGATAGTACAGCTGGTAGGCAACTGCTGGGTGTGTCCCCCTACACACCCCCCTGCCAAATTAAAAAAAACCAAACACGGGGGAAATAAGAATAGAGAGCTAGTTTAAAATGATTATATATTTTGCATGTAGGAGGCCAGAGCTTGATACCTGATACCACGCGGGCCTCACCACAGCAAGGGTGAATATCCCCAAGCTATCAGGTGTGACCTCCCCCAAAAAACAGTAGATGCCCTAAATAGCACTTCAAAAATGTGGAGCACTCAGGGTTGGAGAGATCATACTCTCCATGGCGAACAGAACCCAGAGAGGGTGGTACTTGCCACCCTCACTGGGTTCAATCCACCACAAAAAGTCACCTGAGCCCCATCAGGACTGATACGTGTGACCAGAACCAGAGGTAAAGCATTGAGTAATGCCAGTTGTGGGTCAAACCTGCACCACAAATAAACCACCCCCCCCCCCGCCCCAAACAACAGCCTCCTTTAGTTGGATAATTGTTTTTGGGGCCTCATCACAGAACGGTATTTGGGACCAAATCAGCTCTTAAATGAAAAATGTGTGTAAAATCCACCTCATTGAGTCTGCTCTACTTCATTAAGTTTAGATAAAACTTAGCTCTTTAGAAACAAGGCAGGGGCTGGAACAATAGCACATTTTGCTTTTGTTTGCCTTGTAGGTGGCCAACCAAGGTTCGATTCCCAGCATCCCATAAGGTTCCCTGAGCACTGCCCAGGAGTAATTCCTGAGTGCAGAGCCAGGAGTAATCCCTGTGCATTGCCGGGTGTGACCCAAAAACAAAAAACAAAAACAAGGCATCCATTTACTCTTTGTCAAGAAAAATAACACCTTTTTAAAACATGAAAAGATCCAAGCCAATTTCCATTAGCGAACAAAGTCTCATACCTTAGAATAGACTTCTGTATGAGAAGAACATTACATCCGGCTTTCTTAATTTGTTTTACTAAGTTTAGAATATAGGCTCTCTCCTCTCTAAGTACGCGATCCATCTGAACATAGTCAGACACTACTATTTGATTATCCATCTGTTTAGGGGGGAAAAAAAGTATGAGTTTGTGAATATGCACCTTAGTTCATAACTTATCTATACAGGTCACTGATGGTATTTATTATACACCTTTTTTACAAGGAAATTTGGTAATAATAATAATTTTTAAAAAACCCTAAAACGGTAGTTTCTGCAAGATGTCAACTATGTACTCCTTTCTTCCTTTATCGAGTGCTAAGGATAGAATCTCCTAAACGCAAGGTTAAGTGTTCTACTACTAAGCTACATCTCTGGCCCTGAAGATGTGAATTCTCTTTATATAACTATTATTGCTGAATCAATTGTTTGGTCTTTTTAACTCTACAAGTCTTGCTATGAAAATCAGTATGCTAGGGTGTGACTGGGGATGTGGTTTAATGGCACTGTATAATAAAATTGTTATGCTTTTTTAAAAGATCTTCAAAGAAAAATTTAATTTACAAAACATTAATTTCTACGTAGGTTAATTTTGTGGGGAAAAGAACAACCACATATAGGCCTCGAGTGACAGTACAGTGGATAGGGCATTTGCCTTGCATGCAGTCCACCTGGATTTGATCCCTGGCATCCCATATGGTACCCTAAGCATTACCAGGAGTAACTGGTGAGTATACAGTCAGGAGTGACCCCTGAGTACTGCCATATGTGGCCCCAAAACAAAACATCACCCTCCCCAGAGAACTCCCAACACAATATTAAAATAGCAAATCTGAAAGAAGTAATAGTATCATCCACCCTTTTAAAAGACATTAACAGTACTATAGTAACCCCCCCCAAATCAAAAGCTAATCTATTCAGTATTTTAGCATGTTCTTCACCATTAAGTCCATGCTCAATTACAATGAGCAGCCAATTAAGCTATAGATTTGTAATGTCTGGCTTCCAAAAGTTGACTCAATTGTACTAATTCTCTTGTGATCAACATATTCCATTTTTCTTTGGGGGGGGCGGGGGGTAAACGAGGGGAAGGAATGGGTTCCCAAAAAGTGCTCAGGGGCAAAGTCAGCAAAATTAAACTCAATATTGGGAAGTGCTTTATCTCCTGTTGTATCAGGCCCGAAAAACCCTTAACATGGCCCAGCTGTGCAAGCCTGAGAGTTCACTGTTTGAATCTAGCCACTCAGTGTTAGGAACATTTTCAACGCTAGACTAATTTTGAACATTGTACAAATTATTACAAATAAAACATATAAACAAGGAAACAATTTCTTTTGATTCTACTTACATCTGTTTTGGGAGCAGATAAGCAAAACTGAATAAGCCCAATTTTAGCCTTTTCAACTCTGGTTATACCAGAATTTGCCACCTTTTGAGTGAGAACCAGTCCTTCTACCAACTCACAATCATCAATAGTTCCACTAAAAAAAAAGAGAAAGAAAACAAGGAGGGAATAGTTAAGGAGAAGATACCTGTTAAGTTATAAAGTCTGCCAACATTTAAAAATCATCAGTCCAACAAAATCTGCCTTAGGCTAACCTTTACCAGTGCTTATTCTGTAACCTTCTGATAACATTATTGCTCGATCATCATTAAGGAAAACAAATAATCAAAGATTTTCATCTTTCATTTAATATTTTTGAAATATCTTATGCTTACTTTCAAAATTACAAAGCTGTAAATTGAGATGCTTACCCAAGCTTCTTAACTATTTTAATATCTCTAAGATCTACACTAGTAGCGGTGGCTGGATCAATCACTTTCATCACTGCATTTACACTCATTGGAGAAAGCAGACTTGAGTACTGAGAGACAACCTAAAATGATTAACAAACAAAACAAAGTCAGCAAAATGAAATTCAATATTGGGCATAAGTGCCTTACCTCTTGTTCTATCAGGCCCCAAACTTGTGGTTCTTAACGAACTTTAAACTATAACTTTCCAATGATCTATTAATGCTTATCTCACCTTTGAATTTAACGAAGTGGTCGCACTATTTAATAAGGTTTCTCTGTCACTCAGTTCCACAGGTCGAGACATGTCATTCAAAATTTCAAGACCCTTTTCCAAAGCCTTCTGGAATGACTCAGAAATGATGGTTGGATGAATCCCTACCATTCATGAAAAACCAGTCATTTATTTGAATTGAATGAGCTACCAACTTGGTAACGTTCACTAGTCATTAAGCACAACACTCATAAATCACCAATTATTCTGAACTAGAAATAAAATCCTTTGATCCCAATTGTCAATAAAATTTCAAAACAATTAATTAATTATACATTGTTTAATTAAACAACGATTAATTATACATTGTATCATCAGTATTCTTTCCTAGTGCCTAAGATTAATGCTAACACCACCATTCCTTGTGAAAAGCAAAATTTTACTAAATTCCACTTAATGGTAAGCCTGGCCAAAAATAAAAAGCAGAATTTTAATAAGTACTAATCCATAGCAGACTTAGACTACTTATTCCAAGCTCAATTTTATTTTCATTATTATTTATTTATTTTTTGCTTTTTGGGTCACACCTGGTGATGCACAGGGGTTACTCCTGGCGGTGCTCAGGAGACCATATGGGATGCTGGGAATTGAACCCGGTTCAGCCGCGGGCAAGGCAAATTCCCTATCCGCTGTCCTATCTCTCCAGCCCTCCAACCTCAATTTTAAATCTCCTATTACTAAGTAACTTTTTTGCCTTTATTCAGTAATAAAATAAGGCTTAGTCTACACGCTACTTACCTTTCTGAAGAAGCTTGGTACAAGAATCTAAGAGAGAGCCAGCAATGATGACCACCGATGTGGTGCCATCTCCTGCTTCTATATCTTGAGCCTTAGATAGCTCCACCAACTAAGAGAGGAGAATATGCCAAATTATTCAATAAGAACTATGAGAATCCAGTAACATTTAATTAAAATATAGCAAAGTCTTTATATCCGGGACACAAATTGATTAGCATTACTATGACAGTCTTTATAAATTTTATTTATGGTATACCTTGAGTTTCATTTAAAAACGATGACCAATTTGTGGCTCACAAAATGCTATTTACTTTCTTTGCAATAAGCTACATTATGGTTTATTTCAGAGTATGGATTAGACTTCAGCTACTTAAAAGTAGAGTGCCAGTTCACTCTTTGCGAAGTCTGCCTTTAATTGAACCTTTGTAAGGATTTTGAAGCATTTAGAAGTTCTGTTTCACATAATTTACATAAAGGACATGTTAACAGTAGGAATGTTTATTGTTATATAGTCACTTTCAACTAACACAGGAATCATTTTTATTGTAATTAAGGTAACAAGTTTACTATAGTGTTAATGTTTATAATCGTGGTATATAGTTACAGCATCTCACCACCACCAACTTGCCCAATACTCTCCCATCTATGTCCTTGTTACTATTATCTCTTTCTTTTAGCCCTTCCTAGAACCACTATGATCCTTAAATGAACTGATAATCCCTTAATAAACATAAGCATCTAAGTACAGACTATTTTGTACCCATAAATTACTTTGTTCTCTTTTGACATAAGCTTTGGATAGCAATTTCTACCACTCCTTTCTCCACTGACTCATTTTCTTTGAACAAGGACAAAGTGACTTATGTTTCATGATCCTACACTGAGGCATGCAAAATACATCCTTAAATTACTTGTTCAGAAGAGAAAAAAATGTAATCATACTTAAATATAAGGTGATCAAAAGACTCTTTACCAAATACCAAATAGTACAATTAAAATTTTTCACTTGAAAAACTGACTTACCATCCTAGCTGCTGGATGTAACACTTGCATTTGTTTCAGAATGGTGGCACCATCATTTGTAATGGTCACATCACCTTTTCCATCCTGAATCTGGAAATTTTGTTGTTTTAAAACAAGTCATATTTCAAAAACTTAATTTTCTTACATAAAATAACAACTCAATTAATTTTAATACTTCTTAGTACAGAAGTTAGTTGATGATTATCTAGTGCTTACATAAAACAATTGTTATTTTTTGGTTTGGGGTTGACATCCAGGTGTGATCAGGGTCTAATCTCCCAGCTCTGTACTTAGAGGTCACTCACTCCTGAGACTATTCAGTGCCAAGCTCAAACCTGGACATTCCACATGTAAAGTACGCATTCAGACCTATGAACTCACTCTCCTCCCACCCAGAGCTAAATTTTAAATTCCTCTTTCTTTAATATAATGATTAAAGATTAGGTAATTAGAGCATTTTCTGCTGACTCCACCACAACTTGTGATGTGTACTTTCTGACTCCTTACACTTTTCTAAAACTTAATCTTCAAAAAAGAAGGCAAATAGTTCATTTCAGATAAGTGAAACAAGTGATTTTGTCCTAGGGTACTTAAAAGCAAAGAAATCTAGACACTAAAAATTGGGGTAGTTAAGGTACTATAAAAAAAAGATCACTATGGAGCTATAGGGCTGGAACGATAGCACAGCAGTAGGGCGTTTGCCTTGCACACAGCCAACATGGCCGACCGGAGTTCGATTCCTCCGCCCCTCTCGGAGAGCCCGGCAAGCTACCGAGAGTATCTCGCCCGCACGGCAGAGCCTGGCAAGCTACCCGTGACGTATTCGATATGCCAAACACAGTAACAACAAAGTCTCCAATGGAGACGTTACTGGGCCCACTCGAGCAAATCGATGAACAACAGGAGGACAGTGACAGTGACGGAGCTATATTGATACCAATGCTTGCTTAGCACAAGGCTGACTGTTAGTTAAGATACCTGGCACCCAGATGGTCTCCCTAGCTCACCAGGCATGATCCTTAAGCTAGAGCCAGGAGTTACCCCTGAGAACTGTTGGTGTGGGCCCCAAACAAAAACCAACAGTAAGAACCCTCTCCCAAACCCAACCACTATGGTTTCTGGGTCCACATTCATGAGAAACAAAATGGGTATCTCAATCATAAATGTAAGGAGCACAATTCTTACAGTTAACACAGAACTTATCTCTCAGCATCAACAAAGCACAACAGTATTAGTAAGGACAAATTAAAAAAGATCTAGAAAATCATAGTTTTCTTCTATTTCAGTTTGGATCATTGAATTTGAAGGTGTAATGCACCTGTTTTATATTATCAGTGAATCAAACTGGAAGTAGTTGTTATCCCACAAAAATGAATTCTCTATCAACAATATACAAATGCGAACCCTGATTATGTAGCCTTTTCACACTTTTCTTCTAATTATACAACGTAACTTCGTTTGTACAGTTTCATCATTATTCAAGAGTAAAATTAAAATTACAGTTAACCTAAGTCAATCTTTTTTCCAAACTCCAGAGAATGTAACTTTTTGTTTGTTTTGGAATATGGAGGTCAGGGATTTTTCCTGGCTCTGTGCTCAGGAGTGACCTCTGGAAGTGACTGGAGGACATATATAGTGCCAGAGACTCGAACCAGGGTCAGCAGGATGTAAGGCAAGTGCCTTTGACAGAATAGTACCACTTTCTAATTTTCCAGTATAGAACTCAATAAGTAATCAAAGATTCAGCTTTTTACCATTTTATCCATCCCCTTTGGTCCAAGGCTTGTTCTAATAGCATCAGCAACAGCTGTAAACAGAAGGGGAAAACAAAAATAATCAAGACTCTCAAGAACAGAGCAAGACAGAAAGCTAGTTAAGTGGTAGGACACGTGCCTACCATCTATGATGTCCTGAGTGTGATCGCCAGCACATGACCCAAGAGTAGTGCTGGTTTGGCCTAGATAGCTACCAAAACCCACTGGCCAAGAACTGGAAGTAAATCCTATTAAAAACAGCCCCCCACCCCATTGTTCTTTTAAAAAAGGAATACATTTGGGAGGGGAAGGTTTGAATGTGGAGGTGTTCCGGGGACCATATGTGGTGCGAGAGGCTGAACCAGGGTGGTGGGCAGCATGCAAAGCAAGCAGCTTAACCTGTACTATCTTTACAGCCCCTGATTTGCACTTTATATTTCTTAAAGGTGTCAAATATAAGAACACTATGAGGTAGAACAGGGACTAAGGTGCTTGACTTGCATGTATAATCCTTGAGTATACAACCAAGAAAAGCCCCTGAACTCTACTGGCTTTGCAAAGTTACTCTAATTACTTGTCCATGAGAATGTCTACATTTTATCACCACAAATCACAAATCATCCTGTTATTCGTCGATTGCCTCGAGCAGGCCCCAGTAACGTCTCCTTCATCCTAGTCCTGAGATTATATTCAAGGCTCTTTAGGAGAATGAGATCCATCATTGTTACTGGTATTTTGCATATTGGGTACACCACGGGGAGTTTGCCAGACTCTGCCGACATGTGTTACATTTTATCAGTCCAATCATTTTCTAAGAAGAATTGGAAGTGACAGGTAGTAATACACCCTTTGACAAGCCAGAACAGTAAGAGCAGAAGTGGTACAACATGGGGCAGGGAGTTTGTGCATGCCTTGTATTGATCAGGGTTCAATACCCGACCTCCCATAAGGTCCCCTGAGCATTGCCAGGAGTAATTCCAGAGTGCAGAGCCAGGAGTAATTCCAGAGTGCAGAGCCAGAAGTAACTCCAGACTATTCCCTAGCGTGGCCCCCAAAAATAAAAAAACGAACAGTAAAGTCTTCCCCCTTACCACATACCACCATCCCTTATAACTGGCTGAGACTTGCTGTAACCATTTTTGTTTAAACTTCCTAATAACGAAATGCATTTTTCATAATATAAACTGCAATGTCATTTTAAGAAGTTTAAGGGAAAATAGTATGATCAAAAGCTTCATTTTCCTCAATGTATAATTTTAATTTAATTATCTGGTAGATAATGCCTTTTAGTGCATTCAAATGACCATTATGGTTGAATCTGAAAGTGCACTTAGAGAAGCTGGAGCGATAATACTGCGGGTAAGACGTTTGTCTTATATGCGATCAACCCTGGTTCCATCCCCAACATTCCATATCACCTCGTCTCCTAACCAGCTATGAGAAATCCTTGGGCACAGACCCAGGAGTATGTCCTGAGCACTTGCTGGGGTGTGAACCTTCCACAAAACCGAACAACACTTATATTCTGAAGTTATACTACAATATTCTTATAGTACAAGAACTGTTTGTTAGAATGTGTAATTTTCTTTTCACACAATGGCGTATTAACTTTTTTGTTGTAGCTTTTGGGCCACACCCAACTGTACTCTGGGGCAACTCCTAGCTCTATGCTACGGTGTTGGGGGGGGGGGGGAGGTGCAACGGGGTCAATACTATCCCAGGGATCGAATCCAGTTTTTCCATGGGTGAAGCATGTGCTCTGCCCATTAAACTGTCTCCCGAGCTCTTTATTTGGTGACACTTAAACCAAACACTGGACTATGGATAGTACAGGGGCTGCCATGCATGCAGCTATCACAAGCATCATGCACTGCCAGGAATGAATGACCCTTGAGTATAGCCAGGAATAAGCCCTGAACACAGCAGGGTGTGCCCCCCCCCACCTCCAGAAAAACAGAGCAGAATTAACTAAGGTATGACACAAAAGCAATGATTTGGGTTTTGTCTAAAGACGAAAAGTGACTGTGTCCCTCTACTTTCTGGACTCTCAAGAACTTAAGGACCAGATTCAGAGAGAACTAAACAGCCTTTTCTTACTATTCACACACTCTAGCCCTGTTCATTTCAATTCCTCCATATCCCCACCAGTGTCGTTCTAAAGGTCTCTCTAAACTGGATCTCCCTCATTTCTTGCTGAGAACCTACTATGTTATATATATATTTTTAGTCTTCCAGACAGCTCTAGAATTTATGAGTTTCTAACCTAATGAATCTAAGCTTCAACAATGTGCTCTAGATTCTTCAACTTGGGGCAAGACCTTATGCAGGGGGGAGGGGGGAACACACGAAACAATAAGTTGTAAACACACTTAGGATTCTATTAGTGCATACCCATTTTATACGCTGATTTATGCTCAGGGTTTCTTAGGTAAAAAGGGAATGCTGAGTGGAGACGGTTTAATGTGCCCTATCTACCCTAGCCAACGACCTACCAAATTTTTATTTCCAGATCCCATCATCCCAGAAACTTCCACACGATCCCAATTAGGGCCTGCCTAATTCCTCAAGCCGTCCTTCTGCGGCTTCCCTCAACTATCCGCAGTCTTGGGGCGCACCAGCACTGGTGATCGGTGAGGCTGTGCCCGGGCGGTAGCGCCTTAGAGGACCCCTAATTTAATCCCCCGCAGAGCCGCTCCCGGTGAGCGGAAGGGGTCACACGCACCCTTCCGGGACTGCTGCAGCTCATCTCTCCAGCCCGAAGGGGCACTCCCGGCGCCTCCCACAAGACAGCACCACCCCCAAGCCTTTGTTCTCTGTTCCTTCCACCGCAGCTAAATTTTTTGACAACCCTAAAATCACCTCTTAAAAAAAAAAAGGCGGATTTTTCTCCCCTCGATTAAGTCAGTTCCCTAAATCCAGGACAAGGGGCCCCGCCCCAATTCAAGCGTGGGGAGAACCACGCCTTTCCAGAAAGGTGCAGCAGGCAGAGTAGGGAACGTCAATTAAATACTCTGAGAACAACAAAAGTTGGGGGAGCCGAGAAACCACAGCGTCTGGCCTTGGGGCTGTAGTTTGCCAGGCGCGGCCGCCTCCTGAAATATACTGAAGGACGCAGAGCCCAGGAATGAATTGCATTTAGGGGCGTCTGGGAAGCAGAATACAGCAACCCCCGAAGCAACCAGACTCTGGCGTCGGGAATGAAGGGCAGCAAAGAGGACTAATCCCTCCAGGGAGCTAGAGATTAGCTGATGTCATGCCCAGCCCAAACCAGGGCGAGAGCGCAGAGATAGTCCCTGCAGAACCACGAGGCAGGCCCAGGGGCGATACCTTTAGCCGCGGAGATGTTGCTGAAGCGGATCTGGGCCGGCTTATCCCGGTCCTGATAGGCGCTTTTTCCGCGGCCGCCGGCACTCCCGGCCGGCGCCCCGCTCCGGGGAGCCACGTTCTCGGGCATGGCACACTTAGCTGGGTCTGCGGGGGCTTCGGAAGGACGGATGGACGTGGATCCTGGCTGCTGGAGGAGTAACGGAAAGCCTCCACCGCTTTCACGAACCTTCCAGAAAGCGGCGCTGGGAAGAGGCGGAGGCGGGGAAGGGGACCTGGCTGGCGGCGCGGCGCGGTCGTGACGTAGCAGGCTGCCCGCCGCACGCCGGGTGCAGGGGCTGCGCCGGCGCACGCGGGGCCTACCCGGTCTTGGCCGAGCGCGCAAAGAGTTCTGGGTACACATCCCGACTTCCCCGGAGGACCCCTTCCCCCGGGTATTTATAAAGGCAGGTATTGGGACAGCCTCATCTCCTGTCTCCGCCCCTGCCGGCTGGAGGTGTCCCTGGTTGACCAACTGGATGGGACCTTGCGCGTGATATTGAACGGACCCGTTCGTGTAATGTTCGGGAAGGGTGGCTGCGTTCCTTTGCCGCTGTTTAAGTGTAGGGACTGGTTGTCTCCTACGAATTAGCCACCTCAACCCACCACTTTGTTTCATACCTCCAAATACAGAGACATGCAATTTCCCCTGCAACACAAGTAGTGTTAGCTATTCACCATTTAATTTTGACCTAATCAGGCTGTTAACTAAAACTTTTTTTGCTGCCAGACCTCACAGCTATTTCGAGGTACCAAGTAGTGTTTTAATCATTTATGTCGAGGAGGAAAAATACTCACCCCCCCACCCCCCCGCTTTCTAACCTTCTGAGTTCTTACCTGACTACTGATAACAGATTAATCAATACAGAAAACACGTTTATTAATATGCATACTTGAGGGATGAAAAAAGATAAATGGTGGCTTAGGACTTATATATAATATACCACCTTTGGCTAAAAACAAAGGTAACCTATGGCTAGGCATAGCAAGATAAAGAAGAGGAAGTTAGGCTTGTTTTGCAGACTTAAGTCGTTCCTTCTCCATTGATTAGGGTCTCAGGTGTCTCCTGTTGGCTCCTGGGTTCAGGTGGAGGACCAGATTATCCTGTCTGAGACTGAAGCCAAGAGCCAGCTCAGCGAAATCTGTGGTACTGTTAGCTACTGGCATGTTCTTCCTGCATGATTCTTTTATAAACATCTTCATCAGCTCTCTTGGATTATCATCATGGAGGTGCTCATCTCCCTGATGCTCTCTTTTTCATGAGCTTTGGAGTCCTCTTCCTCCTGCTCTTGAGGATTGACACCTATAGCTGAGTTCTCAAGGATTCCAACCACTTACTTTCTTGAGTTCCTGCTTTTGTAAATTAATTTTTTTTGGTGATCTTTCACCTTTTCCATTCATCCCTTTACTGGTACCATGACTGGGACACACACACACACACACACACACACACACACATGTGCATGGTTGTGGTCACACACTGACTTGCTGGGATTGCATTCTAGTTGTGGTGCTTCCACACATGCTAATTGTGGTACTCGGTGGGGTCATCGTGGTACTCGCGCACGTGCTTGCTTGCACATGTTGTGGTACTTGTATACTCCTCTACACAAGAGACCGCATGAGCAAGGTGGTGCTGGCATCTCCATCTAGAGCAGCAGGGACTGCCCTCAAAAGTAATCCTTATGCTAAAGTGACATATTTTGAGGTAGCATGTTCTGCTACCTTCATTTACATCAGTTTCTCTATAAATGAAGCTTTAGGGCAGAAACTACCTTATTTATGTGCCCTGTAACCTTGTGCACATAAATAGGGTAGTTTCTGGCACCGAGTTCTTAAGCATCTCCTGAGTGACTGAATAGTGACTAAAGTATGATTGGAAAATGTGGAGTAGACATAGGAGCAGGAAATTTGAAGTTTATTGCAAAACTTTAGAGCCCATGAATCTGCACATAATTTAATCACTGGCTGTGATCAGGGCCTATTGGCTCTGTGCTTAGTGATTTACTCCTGGTAGGGCTCAGGGGACCATATGGGTACCTGGGACTGAACCTGTGTGCAAGGGAAGCACCTTAACACTGTACTATTTCTCTGGCCCCTGGTATACACACACACACACACACACACACACACACACACACACACACACATAGGGTTTTGGTTTTGCCCACACTCAGTAGTACTCAGGGATTATTTCTGGCTCTGTGCTCAGGGATCACTCTTAGTATGATTTTGGGGACTCTATGGGATTCCAGGGATTGAACCCTGGTCCATCTGTGCAAATGCCCTACCTGCTGTACTTTTACTTTTACTTGTTTATATTTTTTAACTTATTCAGTGATGAAAAACCTTATATAAACATATTTTCAACTGGGACTAGAGAGCTTGTGAGCCACAGAAGTAGCTTAATAGGAAGGCAACCTAGTTTAAGTTCCAGTTGCTTAATGGAACTTAGAATGAAAGCCTATTTGACCACAATGAAAAAAGAAACCAGTCTACCAGTAGGGGTGCTGGGTGGGTACTTGTACTTAGTTTTTCTTTGAACCAATGCTTTAGAGATTTTTTTCCTTTTCTTTTGCTGCTGCTTTTAATGGGCGTGTGCCTAGATTTGTTATTTTCAAAACAGGTTGTGTTTTGAAACTGAAAAAATAAAAACTTTATACTTAATTTTTTTTTTTTTTGAGGAATTCTTACTAAAATGCCACTTACTAATCTTACCAGTTACAGTGGCAACAGCAGCCCCTAGTGGTGCAGGGATGATTTTCTTTATTCCGTCAGTTTGGTGTTTGGAAACTATGTTGCAGGCTTTGCCATGCATGCGGCTATGTCCAGACATTACATATCTTGTAATAAGAGTCAAACAATGATAGTATGACAGGTATATTAACTCAGATGTTGTGGGCTATATTTGTGCGTTTTTGTATTTGGGGGCTATCTAAGGTTTTTACTAGATTCTGAAGCTAATGCAAAGTTATTAAAATATTTAAGAAATGAAAATGCAAAGAGCTAGGGATAAAGTCAGTGGTAGCATGCTTTCTTTGTAAGTGTGAGGCCCTGGGTGCTATTTCTGGCAATGCAAAAAGAAGAAAAGGAAGGGAGGAAGGAGGATATGTGAAAATTAGAATGGTTCTTTACAATCATGTAGAACACGGAGGTTCTTTAAAATTTTTTTTCGTTTTATTCCAGCCCTATACCATTTACTCTTGTTTAAAAATAAATAAAACAAAATAGCACATACTGGACACATACATCACATTTTCTTCCTATGGCTTCAGCCCACCCTTACTTCACCAAAAGAAATACAAAAAAGCACAAGAAAAATAATTCACAATTCTACATGACCACATTCACAGAAAATGACACCAGTATAAACACAAAACAGAAGGAGGTGCCATATGTTGTGTCCAACAGTTTCTTCTCCATGTCTTATCTTAAGTGAGTAACTATCATTGAGCATGCCAAATCAAAACATAACTAACATATAGAACACATTTTTTAAAAGTTATTAAAAAATTTTGGTGTCAAGAAGTGAACTCAGAACCTTCTCCATCCCACCCCACCCACTTGATTTTTAACTTGATTTATAAATTCACATATTGTTAAATTAACCTTTTTATGAGGGGGGGTTTCTAGCATGTCCAGCAATGTTCACAGATTTCTCCTGGAGGCACATGGGGGAACCATATGCAGTGCTATGAAATACAACTTGGGTAGGCCTTATGCAAGGCACCTTATCCCTTGTGCTATCTCTCAATCCCTGAAATTAATCTTTTCAAGTATATAAATGAGATTTTATAAGTATAAGTATATACTTATAAGATTTTATAAGTATAAGTATATAAATAGAGGATCTTAGAATATTCAAAGTTGTGCGGCCACAACCACTAATTCTAAAACATTTTCATCATCCCCCAAAGAAATCTAGCAACATTAGAATAATTCTATTCTCCTTTCCTCCTGCCTTTGGCAACCACTCATCTACATTCTGCTTCCTTGGATTTGACATTTTTCACATTTTATATAAAAGGGATCTTACATTAAAAATTTTTTCTTTTTGGAGTGGAGCCCACACCCAGATGTGCTCAGGGCTTAGCCCTGGCTTTGTGTTCAGGGATGACTTTTGGTGGGACTCACGGGCGGAGGGTGTGGGGGATACAGAGTGGTTGGGGATCAAACCCAGTTCAGCTTCGTGCAAGGGAAGAGCCTTACCTGCTGTATTATCTCTCTGGCCCCTTCTTTAAAATTTTTAAGTTTCATTAATGTTATAATGTATTGGCATTTTATTCCTTCTTTAAAATTTTTTTAAATTAGTGAGACACCATGAGGTACAGTTGTAGACTTACAAATTTTGTGCTTGGGTTTCAATTATACAATGATCAAATACCCATCCCTCCACCAGTACCCATTTTTATTCCTTTTTAAGAATGAGTGGATTTTATGAAATGAATACATAGGAAAGTTATCTATACATTTTTTTTTGGCTTTTTGGGTCACACCGCCAATGCACAGGGGTTACTCCTGGCTCTTCACTCAGGAATTACTCCTGGCGGTGCTCAGAGGACCATTGGGATGCTGGGAATCGAACTCCTGGCTGTGGGGGGGGGGGGGGGACCATATGAGATGCTGGGAATAGAACTGGGGTTAGCCACGTGCAAGGTAAACGCCCTACCCCCTGTGCTATCGCTCCAGCCCCTTACATGTCACATCTGACTAATAAAGGTGTTAACAGCATATTATAGAGAACCTGTGATCTAAATGGGAAGACATGATAGGTATATGAAAAGGAAATCAACAATCCAAGCCAACGCTTTGTTACCAGGGGCATTGTTCAAATTTTTTTAATAGGAAAGGTATGAAGAGATTAAGTGATAGAATCCTATTCAGTGATAGAATCCTATCCAATCCAAGGTATGAAATGAAACACAGCCATCCAAAAGTTAAACCCTTACAGAACGCTATCTTCCTCAACGGATTCCTTCACGTGATTTTCCTTTGAGCAGGCCCGGTAATGATGAAAACAGGCCGAAATAAACCTGTACTTTTGTAAACCGAATAGAGAGCTCCGCGAGAGGTCAGTTTGCAGCACAAATACTGATCCCCCACAGGAACCCGCTTCCGCGGCTCCGCGCTCCGTTGCACGGCTGTTTCGGCACCTCCCGGCCGCCGTAGCGGGACCCCGTTCCGCCCGGGGCGGGGGGCGGGGCCGCTCCCGGGTTAAGGATGGCTGGCGAGCTCGAGCGCTCCAAGCCTCTGATCGGGCTGCTCAGCGGGCTGGCCCAGGACACTTTCCATGGGGCCACGGGCGTCACCGAGGAGCTGCTGCGGACGCAGCTCTATCCCGAGGTGTCTCCGGAGGAGTTCCGTCCCTTTCTGGCGAAGATGAGGGGGATTCTTAAGGTACCTGTCTTGCCGGAGCTTCCTCTGTGGAAGCCCAACCCTTCCCTGCTTCCCTCGGACGAGCCTGCCCAGAAACGGAGGTGGCATTCCTCAGACCCACCGCTCCTCCAGGGCCGCGCCCCGCGCCCCTTCAGACCCGCCCTTGTCACTTTCTTGTCGGTGACCCCTCCTGCCCCGCCACGCTCCCTGCAGCCGTGCAGGCTGTCACCCACGGACCAAGACTTCGCGTGTTTCCTTAAGTCACAGTTTCGACATGCCCGCACTTCTGTGCGCTCCATGCTTTAAAATATTTAAGTGTCATTTCTTTTTTCGGGGTCTTGGGATGGGAGCCAACGAGAGCAGTGGATGCCAGGGCCGGGCGGGATACGCTGGCGGGACCCGAGGCCCCCCAGACCGCTGTGCAGTGAGCGCCTACTTACCAGCTTGAAGGTAAACGTGTAAACTGTCTTGATCCCTAGACATCTGAGGAGAGCAGATATCTGAACACATTTCAGTAGCCATTTAGAAAAGGTGAAAAGGGGGCGAGGGTATGGCTCAGCTGTGGAGCTCTTGTCTGGCTTTATAAGGAACCTGGAGTCAAGCGAAAATTAAATTTATTTCATTTAGTCCAATGTATCAAATTACTAAATCTTCACATTCAGTATATGGAAAGAAATATCAGTAAGGGGCAAACAGTGATTTACAGGGGTTTGGGCATTTGCCCTGCCTGCAGCCGACCTGGGTGACTCCCTGCCCACTCCCCCCGCTCCCCCCCACCACATTGGTTCTTCAAGTACCTCATGCCTGAGCACAGAGCAAGGAGTAGTCCCAGAGCTTTACTGGGTATCACTATCACTATCACCCCATTGTTCTTCAATTTGCTCCAGCCGGCCCAGTAACGTCTCCGTTCATCCCTGTCATGTGCAAGTGTAGTCCAATGACATATTGGGGGCTCCTTGAGGGTCAGAGAAATGAGGACCATTCATTGTTACTGTTTTTGACATGTCAAGTACACCACGGGTAGCTTGTTGGGCTCTGCTGGGCTCTGCAGTTCCCGCGGGATACTTTCGGTAGCTTGCCTTGCTCTCTGAGACCGAGGGAGCCTTTTGGGGCAGCCTCGAATCACCTTTATAGGTGTTCCTAGTCAGGCATATAGGTGGGTATGATACTCTCAGTAGCCTGCCGGGTTCTCTGAGAGTGAGAACTAGAGGATAAGAGGTTGCACTTCCGGGAGCTTGGTTTTAGAGTCTCTGGATGGCCACTGATGGGGTTACACGGCAGTTGGTGGGTATAACTGTCTAACTACTGGAAGGTGGGGGAGCTGGGTGGAGGAGGCCCAGTCCCTAACCGAGCAGGCTTGGAGATCTCAGCCCCGGGTCCCGCACACCTGGGTTCCTCTGCCGGTTCATCGTCCAAGCATGTGGAGAGTGGCCTCAGCGTGGCTTTGGCTGGGTCCTGGAGGTCTTCAGCTGTCAGGCTCTGCTCAGGGCGGAGGGGGAAACTCAACCCGCCCTCCTCCAAGGGGCCCTGGTGAGGAGGACAGCCAAGCGCAGGGGTAGGAGACCTTTTTCTTTTTTTTTCTTTTTTTACTGGGTGTGGTCCAAAAATGGGTGGATGTGTGTAGGGTTGGGGAAGTATTTACTATTTCTTCGTCATCTTTCCTGAATCTGGTTTATCCTTACACATTAGTTTGTACTTGTGACATTTCAAAGGATTCAGTGAGTGTGTTGACTAAGACCTAATAGGAATGAATCTGGTACCAAAGTGTGTTCTAGAAATACACTAAAAGAGAGTACCTATTTTTGTAGGCAGCCAATGTGTTAGGAACCATACAAGATATTTTATATTTAATTTTTATTTTCGTGCAGTAACTTTGTATGCTGGAGACCCATTTTAAAAATTAGGGAATTGACTCAAAGGAGGCTTAAGAAGTTTGAACATCACACTTTGGGACTGGGAAGTGGCTCAGAGGACTGGAGCATATGCTTTGCATGTGGAGCCCTGGATTCAGTCCCACCGGCATATGGTTACCCAAGCAATCACTATTGTTGAGTATTACTACTATGGGTAGTAGTCCCAGTGGAGGAAGAGAGATCACCAAAGAAAAATTCGCCATAAAATAATATCACACTTTGATTAAAGTCAGTGTTGAAATGTAATCTGCTATAAAATTTTTGTTTTAAAAACTGTTTGCTTCAGGGACTATATCCATAGTACAGTGAGTAGGGCGCTTGCCTTGTACACAGCAGACCTGGGTTCAATCCCCAACATCCCATATGGTTCCCTGAGAACTGCCAGTAGTAATTAGTAATATCTGAGTTCAGAACCAGGACCCTGATCATCACTGGGTGTGGCCCCAAACTCCCCCCCCCCCAATTAAAAATTAAATAAAAACTATGCTTTATAAAGACATTTATTTTTTGAAAAAAGTATTTAACATCACAGGATTTGAATCCTGGAAATAAAATGAAGTAACTTTCACAGAAAGTAAGTTGTTTCATAGACATAAAAGAGACAATATTCCAGGTGTGATCCAAGACATTCTAAGCATTTTCAGTTGATATTATATTATATGTAGTGAAGGCTCCTCTATCAAATCTTACTCTTCAGTGATCAAAAAGTTTCCATAGAGAATATGATTTTCTAAACCAGGATTAACTAGCTGTTCAGGGTTGCTCCTGGCTCTTTGACTGGGAATCACTCCTAGGAGTGCTAAAGGGACCTTGAAGAGGTCAAGAGGTCTGGCTGGAACCTGGGCATCCTATATACAGAGCATGTGCTATCTCTCCGGTCTCAGATTTACTCACTTTCCTGAATAATTCTGGGTTGTAGACTTAACATCACCTATCTTTAGTGTTGAGAATAGAACAGAAGATTTACTTGTTTCGTTACTACATACTTTGCACGATGAGACACCAAGGCCAGGATTTTTTGACTTAGTGAAACTCGAGATGACATCTAGTTTTAATCTTCTTTTTCTTTGTGAGTAACACTGCAGAGCAAATGTCTATTTCTTATGGATAAGTAAAGAACAAGCATGGGTTTTAAACAAAAAAGACTTTGAACAGAGAAAAAAGTATTCATCTACAGTAAAGGAGAACATTCGCAAATAAGCATGATGCAAAGATGCTAAGGTGTTTGGACATAGAGGACTGAGTAAACTACTATCGGCACAAAAGAGGATTTAATTCTTTTTGGGAAGCGAGGACTCTCCCAAGTGGTGCTCAAGAGATGTGGGGCATCCTGGTGATTTGGCCAGTGGGGCTTTTGGTTTAGTGCAACGATGGAGGGTATGATTCTGCTTGGCCCTGCAGTGCTGGGGATACTTGGGTCATTGGGGAAACAGGTGGTTGTGGGAATTGAATTTTGAGTTCTGTTCCATGTGCTCTAGGCATTGTACAATCTCTAAGATCCTGATTTTGGGGCACACCCGAGGTGCACAGGCCTTACTTTTGCCTCTGCTCAGAGCTCACTACAGTCAGGGTTTATGGGAACAAATGGGGTAACAGGGATCAAACTTTGGTTGGCTGCTTGCAATGCAGGCACCTTACCCACCCTTACCCACTGTACTTTCTGTGACCTGGAGGTGCTTTTTTTTTTTTTTTTTTTTTTTTGCAGCTCTTGAAGTTTAAAATATTGTAGACTAAAACAAATGACTTCCACTTAGGGCAGTCTAGGTTAAGAAAATAGCACAGATTGGTCAGGAAAATGTAGAGCACGGTCAGGAAATGAATTTACTCGACAGTACTCAGTACTGAGTATTGGTGGAAGCATAAAAATGTAAAGCAAACTTCCCCCTTTCCTTATAATATTTTAATCCCAATATATAAAGAGCAATGTGTATGTGTGTGTGTGTGTGTGTGTGTGTACGTATCCATTTTAATAGGGGCTACCACCTAGTGTTGTTTGGCAGCGGGGGTGACCAGGCTTTTCTTTGGTGGTACTGGTTGTGTGTGAGGGACATGTGGCTGGATGCGTGGCCCTCCCACATGCTAAGCCTACACTCTGTCCCTTGAGCATTCCTTCCCACCCAACCCTGTTCATCTTTATTCCCACTCTTTTTTTTTTTTTTTGGCAGGTTTGGGAGGGTCATACTCTGTGGTGTTCAGGGCTTACTCCTGGTCTATGGCAGGGATCATTCTTGGGGGTGCTTGGGGACCATATGTGTTGCTGGGAATCAAACTTGGATCAGCAGAATGCAAGACAAACATCTTACCTATTGTACTATTTATTTAGGTCCATTTATTCCTACTCTTAAACAGGATGGATGCATAAATATTTTTGTTGTGGTAAAATTTTTAAAAATCATCTTTATTTAAATTGTATACATAGTCATATGCCTTTATTTAAATGTATACATATTCATAATGCTGTGCATTCATTACTTGTTTATAACTATTTTTTTAACTCTTTGGGTTATACCTGATCAATATTTATTCCGGGGCTTCTTCCAGAGCAGTGCTGGGGGTTATAACCTTTTTATCTTGTAGCACTGTAGCACTGTCCTCCCGTTGTTCATCGATTCTCGAGCGGGTACCAGTAATGTCTCCATTGTGAGACTTATTGTTACTGTTTTTGGCATACCAAATACATCAAAGGTAGCTTGCCAGGCTTTCCATGCAGGCGGGATACTCTCGGTAGTTTGCCGGGCTCTCCAGGAGGGGTAAAGGAATCAAACCCAGTTCGGCCACATGCAAGGCAAACGCCCTACCCGCTGTGCTATTGCTCCAGCCTAACCTTTTTATCTTAAATACTAAAACTGTGGGCTGGAGTATAGCAGGTAGGGCGTTTGCCTTGCACGCAGCCAATATGGCCAACCCAAGTTCGATTCCTCCTCTCCTCTCGGAGAGCCGGGCAAACTCCCGAGAGTATCTCGCCCGCATGGCAAAGTCTGGCAAGCTACCCGCGGTATATCCGATATGCCAAACACAGTAACAAGTCTCACAATGTTACTAGGCCCACTCAAGCAAATCAGTGAACAATGGGAGGACAGTGACAGTAACTGAAACTGTACTTATTAA